GAGGTAACTTCTTTATTACAATCCAACGGCACTCCAACAGTCCTGATACTCTGTTACAGCCTAGGTACACAGCCTAGGTACACAGCCTAGATACACTACTCTGGCTACGCTCTGGAACTCGCCCTCATAAGGACGTAAAGCCGGGAGTTCCAGAGTCCCACCACTGGCCCTCACAGCGTCCCAGGGTCCTGAGATGGCTGGTCTTGGGTCTTGGGTCTTGAGCTACAACTGGCCCTGATCGGCCAGGGAGCTGCCCTTTTATGCCTCGTCCCCAACGAGGGGTGGGGTTGTGTGCGCCCCCAGATATCCCACAGAGCACACACAGCCCCCCCCCCCCCCCCGTTGGTGGCGCCAAGGGGCTTAACTGGCTGGGTTGTCTGGGATCCCAGCGCCTGGCGCGAAGTGGCTTAAGCATCTGGGTTGTCTGGGATCCTAGCACCTGGCACCGACGGCTTATCTGCCTAGGGTCCCAGAGCCCCCAGCAGCCCCTCCCATCTTATGTCACTACACATGTATCAAGAGTTACATTTTAACGTGGAATTTTATTGAGGGACTGTAGTGTTTTGGTGTGGTCTGGGACTGTTTTTGTTTTGCTGCCTTGCTCAAGATTGCATTTGGTGTTGAACAATCGGCAGGATTTGATGAGCTTATGCAATCTTCAAGGATAAATTAAGATTCTGAATCAAAGCATGTGAATGTAATCGCACGTGTTACAGTGTGCCTAACAGGTGCCTAATGTGCGTATCTGTGTAAATATAATTTTTTAGTTGAATCCTTTTATAACAAAAGTTCCCTACATCAGCTGTCTTACTAGCTAGATATTTTACACATTGGCTAAACATTGCAATGCACTGCACGTTCTACCATTAAAATTCATATTAGAATACATTACTGTACAATTCACCTCTTTATAGTACATGGTACATTGTGGTCCATATATTTGCAGCACATGCAAACTGCAGCCATTCTCCGTACTGTGAGTTAGATTATGATTCAATTGCCATGTAATTTCACATTCTCAGTGTACTCTATCTTGTCAGAACATATCCACTCAAAGTGTAATATCTGCCTGACTTGCATTCCAACCTTCATAGGTCATCCTGACCCAAAACAACTGCAATCTTTGCATTGGGACAATGTCTAGCTTGTCTTCTATGTTTGGAGCTGCTTTCAATTATGCAAACAACATGGCTTAAAATAGGCTGTTTATTTTTGGCCTAGTGCATACTTGCTTTCAGAACTAAATTGCAGTGAATGGCTGTGTGACTTAGAAAGTTAAAAATAGCTGTCTAATGAGTAAGAGTTGTTTTTGAATAATACATTTGAATGACACAAGAAGAGACATACATTTAATAATTATTTTTTTTACTTAAAGTTTTTGTGACTGCAGAAATGCTTATTCTTTGGGTCTTTCGGTAAAGTCACATAGATAGGTTCAAAGAAAATTACAAAAAACTACGACGTTTCGATCGCAACACAAGCGGCCGTCATCAGGAAAAGGGGGTTAGCCTCTAAAGGCAATTTTTTTTTAAGGTTTGAAATGTGCATACCCCAAGTGTCATCAGCATGGGCGGGGCAGCTAATGTTAATGTAAGTGATGGTACTCGTAGAGGGCAACAATTAATTTGTGGAAGCCCACCACCGGTCCCATCACTGCCCACTACTACCATCACAACTGGCAGTAGCCCTTTATTGGTGAAAGCCCAATACCAGTGCCGTCGTGGCCCTCTACGAGTACCATCATCTCAAGCAGCAACCTCCACCGTCAACAGTGTGTGTAAAGCGAGGTGCAATGATTACTTGGCAGCCCTTTAATTGGTGGAAACCCACCACCAGCGCCGTCGTTGCCCTCTACGAGTACCATCACTTACATTAACATTAGCTGCCCCGCTCATGCTGATGACACTTGGGCTACACCCATTTCAAACCTTAAAAAAAATTGCCTTTAGAGGCTAACCCCCTTTTCCTGATGACGGCCGCTTGTGTTGCGATCGAAACGTCGTAGTTTTTTGTTATTTTCTTTGAACCTATCTACGTGACTTTACCAAAAGACCCGAATAATAATTATTATTTTTTCAACAATTATATTGTTGCAGTTTGGCGGTATTTCAATATATTACTAGCCGAAGTTAAAGGTATGTCTTTTAAACTCGCGCTTTCTGTGCGGAGTTTGTATATTGTCCCCCTGTTCTGCTTGGGTTTACACTGGTATTGGCCGAATGTGCCAATACTTAAAAAAATATGCACATTACTCAATTTGGGATTACACATCGCAACACTGCCCTCCTACTGCAGAAACTTGGCAGGACCTTTCTGAAAATTGTCTTGAGACTCAGTGAGGGGTAAACGAGTACAATAATAAAGTAATAACATTCACGTGTGCTTTGTATAACATAATTTAGGGTCAGTTTGACATTTCATGATCATATTATTGCACATATCACCGTAATGTCGACAGTGTCTTGGGATGCAGTTAGATTTAGACCCTAAGTAACTGCAAATTGTATTGTAACGTTTGACCCTCACTTTCCTCTACAGAGGTGGGAAAACTCATATCAACAATGCTTAAGTTAGGATAACACGCATGTATTATATGCATTTAATAATATTACTCAGGGTGTATTGTTTAACTCTAAAGGGATCTAATACACATTGTGTTCAAGACCACTTAAATCGGATTCCGAGATGACCTTATCTTTTTTCACATATGATCGCTTGGCAGAAACATGTAATCACGATAAACTATTGTATTATTGTGTATATAGTATGCCATACAATATTTTTTTGACTTAGCATACAACGGCAGCTAAATAACCACTTTGTGAATGGAATTGTGACCTTTAATCCTAAAAATTGAGCAACCTGGGGGGATAATTTAATCCCGACTAAGACAGAGAAAAAGTGTTCACTTCAGGAATGTAATGGTTTATTGATTCAGAAATTATACTCGAATTTTATGCTAATGTTACAAACAGTTATTCATACGTGTTGCACAAATAATATATTTTAATTTTTCCACCACTATATATCTTATAGATTTGCACGACTGTTTATTATTTAGACACCACTATAAATAATTTTTATTCACACCACTGTGCATTTTATAGATAATATCACAGTATAGATGCATCTCCACATTTTAGTCCATAAATGCACTCCACAGATTCTATCTCTGCATTCTCAAGAGCAAAAAACAAGTGATCTGTTAATTTATTTCATAACCGGAATTGGGACGTAACATTGTGGAGGGATGAACTCCCTTACTTCCATATTGTAGTATGTATGAATAATACATTACATTTCAAAGGATATGACAGATTTATGTAAAAAATATGTATTTTTAAAAAGTTGACTCATCTCTAATATATTGATCAGGTTGATGACTGGGCAACATTCTGATCCATGTGCTGTCAGTCCAACCACCTCATCTGAACCTAATTTGTCACAAAAACTATGTTGAATCCGATTATAATCTAAACTGACAGTGCCCGAAACGTATTTCTCGTAGATAAAAAAAACAAGCTTGGTGAAGAAACAACTTGTTTGTCTGACAATTTTCTTCAGAATGATGGCAAAAACAATGCTAAACTTTACAATTATTTGAGCATTTACTCAACAAAATGTTGGTGGGAACTGCCTTTTTTCGTCACAAATTAGTAGGTGTTTGATACTGCCTGAGGTTAAGCCACCACCTGTATCTATCTTTATTTGTCCTAATTGAACATTTTGGTAGGTGCCAGAAGATACTCGTCTCATGCTCGCTTGCATGTATTTATTTGTGTGTTTAATGAAGAAGTTCATATTGTTAGTCCCTTGTGTTTCTGTTGCTGCATTACATTATAGGCCATAGGGTTTCTGCTTAGAAAGTGCAGAATTACCCCACGTTATGCATAAATGTTAATTATATATGGCTATAGAACACATTCATTGTTTGACTGTGTGTACGTGTTGCTCTGAATGTCCAACTGTTCATCCAATGCCAATAGAGCACTGGTAAAACGACTGCATATATAGAGTGGATTTTCAATAAACAACATAAGAGAGCCTTATTGTTGATTTGACAAAGAGGCACTCAAAAAGGCACCTGCACACGCACGGCAGCGTGAAGGATGCCACTGACCGTGTCTCACGTGCACACATGCTGAGCAAGGCGAGGGGTACAGCTTGCGGCTAATGGTGAACAGCAGGGGTGACTCTCTTACCCTGCTGATATGGAAATGCATGTCAAAAGCCTATATGTGGTGTTTCCTTTTTTTCCGATCTGTTTTTAGACAGACTGCAAATGTTTTCGAGCCATTCTAGCCAACCACAACATACCTTTTCAAAACGTGTATATATTGTAGGCTAGGATAGGTGTGAGTCCTTACTTTTTTCACCTTCGCTTACCTACACGACTGGCACATAGAGCTTACCAAAATTCGATACTGCCGTAAAAAACGAAGCATTGCCTGGTAGGATGGGGATGGTTTAGTTACATTTGTATGTTTTTTGGTGATTTTGTTTACCTTGCTTGCACTTTGCACAACTTCTATGTTTTTGTGTTGATTTATCATGTAACCTTCTTACCCAACCCTACTGGACATCTGTAGAAAAAAGCTTTATGGCTCATAGAATTCTTCCAGTATAAATACATCTTCTGATTTGAAACCAAAACGTTTATTCAATTAATGGTAAATAATATAATTGGGTAATATGCGCAATTAAAAGAAAAGTATAAGAATCAATATTTTAAATTTCTATATATACGTAATGGTTTCGCTTCAAACCAGCATTGACGGTAGGTGCTACCATTCACTCCGATGTAAATAATAAAAACAGTTTAACCGAATCGTGACTCATGGGAAGTTATTTAATAATCCTGCGTATGAATATGAGCCAAAAAACCTGTGCGACGGTAATATTGGTATGAAAAGATGCTGATGGTGATTCTGTCCTCGTGTTCAAGGTGTGCATGGTCCGAGTTCACAACTTGATTTGAAGATGTTCTTTGTGTTGGGCAGTTCCGTGGCGGAGCAGCTGAAGCGTGGAGAGACGGTGCAGGCCGAGGCCTTTGACAGCGTCACCATTTACTTCAGTGACATCGTGGGGTTCACGTCTTTATCAGCTGAAAGCACTCCCATGCAGGTTAGTGCTGGGGGCGAAATCTGGACCTGTCAAACGTGCGGAGTCTATGGGGTGACCTGAAATGTATTAGATTGGCGCACAGTACATCAATAGCATTGTGTGCTTAGCAGCCGGTGTGTTAATTTACGACAACCGCACATCAACATTCATGGGAAATACCTTTTTATAAGACCTTTACAAAACACTACAATGCTGATTTATAGACTGGCGAAATGTAATAACTTCTTAAGAACCTGTAGAACGGATATGGACACGCACATCGAGAGGACTTAAAAGGCAGCTGATAACTGGGAGTTTTATAAGAATGAAACGGGTGTTCATGAGGCTAGAGTTATGAGAATAGATGCGATGGGGAAACATACAATGTGCACTATCACGTAGGTTAGAGAGAATGTATTGGATAGAGAGACAGCCGAAAGCCTGGGTATGTAGTGAAGTGGGAGTCGGCCATACAGATAGTCAGAGGGACGGAGTTCCAGAGGTAGCAGGGCAAGCAGAGGAAAATATTATCTCATTAAGCAGAGGTTCTTTTGCGAGTTTTCGATAAAAGACCTTAGCTTCTGTAGCAGATGGCATGAGGAGAAGAGAAGAGTGAGATGGGATGGAAGAGGTAGGCAAGGGTAGGTCCATCCATGGAGAAACATAAAGAAGGGTTAAAATGGTGAATGTGTAGTTGAGCTAGTACTGCTGGATTGGGAGCCACTGTAGAAATGTTAGGAATGTATTTAGGCATAGAATGAGCAGAATAAAAGTTTTGTTTGGAAAAGTGGAAATATATACATTTTCACAGATTTTTGTTTTTCTCTGAAAGCAATGCTAGAGATTCAGCAAAAGTTTTCTGATTATGGGAGTCCGATGATAATATTTTCGAGATTATAGTGAAGCTGCAATCATGCAAGTGAGTGCAATGAACATTACCAGTGGCATTTATAAATGCCTTTATGTAGGAGACCAACAAATTGGGAATCAATGCAGTGGATCAAGGATGAAAGATTATGTTTTTGTTTGAGACAATAGCAATGGCGTAACTGGAGGTGGACTGACAGCAAGGTAAGGTGGGAGAGGTGGTGAGGCAGGAAAAGGGCAGGCAACACAAGAAGGATAATCATGGACTGAAATGTCAATAATGGTTTTCTAAACCTTGTCAGAGAAATAACAGGTAAATAGCTGGTGATTGACAGGGTAATTGAGAAAGTAGGGTTCTGGGGATGCAGAATTGAGCTTGTGCACATAATACTTGTCAGCCGTGGTGATGCATGGGGAGTGTTCCATGAAGAGGGAAGAGAAAAACGTATGATACATTCAAAGACTCGATGCTTTCCTCATAATTTCAAAACAGTTGAATCAAACATGTTGGACCATTGAACACTAAAAGTTAATTGCCTAAAAATATATAAAATGTATCATTTGCATGATGTAACTTAATCTGTCCTCATATGAACTTAAATGTTTTTACATATAGTCTGCTATTATCCCAATACATCTCTAAATAGTATTTGTTTGGAGTCGACTGTCACAAATATATTTATAATGAATTTCATTGATTAAAATGAAATCTATTTCTTGTAAGGAATTACATTTGTTTGCAAGTCCAAAAGCTAGCATAGCGTTTAATCAACCATAAATTAACACAGACAATTAGTTCATAAATATAACACTATCAAATTTCCAATCGCAATCTGCACACCCTCCCTACTTGAGTTATATGACTTCTGAAATCCAATCCCGATTGACTAATTGGGATCAGATTTTTATGATCATATTTATTACACATTGTACTGCAATACTGTATTACCTTAAGTGTTAAGGAATTCGCTATTCATTTTAAAGATGTTATTTTTATATTCACGATAATGCATCAAACTGTGCGTGTAAGAATCGATAATTTCCTATTCATATATACAGTATTGTACGTGAGCGGTTCCTTGGTTCATGGAAATTCTGTCGCTACTGTGAACTGTACATGCGCCGAAGAGGGAAAACTATATTTGATTCATGGGTAGAATCAGGGAACAGACATGTGACAATAAGTTTAACACGTAGGCTTTCGCGACCAATGTTATTCATAATCAACGTTTTTGGGTTTAGATCGCGTTTATTTATAAATGTGTCGTAACCCTCCACCACCCGACACGGCCAATCAGTAAAAATGTGTCACGTTGACAAAGACAAATAGTTCACTGCTTCAACACACCGGTGGGCTAAAGCAGTGAACTATTTGTCTTTGTCAACGTGACACATTTTTACTGATTGGCCGTGTCGGGTGGTGGAGGGTTACGACACATTTATAAATAAACGCGATCTAAACCCAAAAACGTTGATTATGAATGTGACAATAAAGTGAATCATGGAGGGAAAATCAAGACCAGGGAAATATTTAGCCACAAGCAATTAATCGCGATAAGTGCAGATGCTCACAACACATGCATCGGTTCATAAGAAATTACTTCTGTTTTTTACTTCTTTATAGTTTGTTTTATATTACTATAGATTTTCAGCGTTATCAATCATCACTATCAGCCATGGGGAATCCACTGGTAGATGAAGGCCTCGCCAAGCAGCCACCACCTCTCAGGGTCCTGCAATGTATACTCGACCAATCACCTATTCTTGGTTCTTTCGGTAAAGTCACGTAGAAGGGAAATAATAAAATAATAAAAATAAAACAGATGCAATTCTCACGACGTTTCGATTGCAACACAAGCAATCATCATCAGGTGTGGAAACCACAGCAATACAATAAAAAAAGTGGCGTTTAAAAAAAAAGAATTCTTGTAATTGTATTGTTATATTCTCATTATTTTATTATTTCCCTTCTACGTGACTTTACCGAAAGAACCAAGAATATGAATCCCTGCAGTCATGAAAGCTTTAGTTCGATACCAATCACCTGTACACAAACTGACCGAGCGATTATTTGCACCCCATGCTCCTTCACCTACCCACCCAATGCCGTGGCTGGTAGAGGCAGAGATTTTGGCAGTGGGGGAGTGGGGGTTGAACAACTTCACCACGCTGTTCAGATCAGATTGGTGAAGGGAAAATATTCCGTTGCGCCCTTTGCCGAGTACCTGATTGGTACAGGCGCCTCTGTCCAGCAGAGCTCGTCAGGTCTCCAAGGCAATCAACTCTCTTCACCGCAGCACGAGTGCTCTGTTGAAGTGGCAATATATCCACAAGGCAAAATTATTCTATAGAATCAAAACAACTGTGATATATAATCCTGAGTGCTGTGCATCTACAGCTTGTATAGCTTACAACTCGTTATGCACTGGTGTGGTGCATTTTGTGTAATTGGTGAATAAACAGATCCGTCACCATTCTGTATTTCCACGCAAAATAATATGTTGTCTAGTCTATTGGCCTCTGGGTCAGTAGACGAAATTGATAATTTTCAATTCATTTTCATTTATTTGGTATAGCCTTGGGAGCCATTCGGCTCTTGAATCGGGTGCAACCGCAACAAACAAAAAACAAAAACATGAACAAGAAAACATCTTATAGTGACTATTGACGGAAACAGAAAATTCCAGGAAAAAACAGCAAAAATCTTCAAGAAAAAGCACCGTACACCAACGCTGTGGAAAAATCCCAGTGGGATGCAAGTCAAACAACAACAACATCAACCACGAGACAACTTAGATTAAAGCCATCAGTTTAACTCCGTACTCCAACAAACAAACAGCAGCATTTGTTTCAGTAAAAAAAGTGCTCTTACTAATCACGTCTGGTAAACTAGCCTTACTCTCTGGTTCTTTTGGTAAAGTCACATCGATAGATCTACGTAAAGTCACGTAGATAGATCTACGTAGATAGATCTACTTGACTTTACCGATAGAACCAGAGAGTATGGATTCCTGCAGTCACGAAAGTTTCAAATCAAGACTAAACTAGCTTTATTTATTTAACAAGTCTGCCTGCAGATGAAACCCAGAAGTGCAAAACCAGTGCCAGGGTGGCCTTGCTCATACAAATGGCGTCTGGTTAGCATACCAAATGTAGAATTGTTAACACTGGCTCTGCAATGGAGATGAACACCACTTCACACTTGTTGGAACTTGCAGACACATTGACTGTCAAAATGTTCACGAAGGAGATTAATCCCTGACTAGTTTCACCCATGTTTGAACCTATATCCCGTCTTGATGCAACCATCAAGAGGGTGGTCCTTGCACAAGTGTAGAGCTGGGCAGTTGGTTGCTTAAGTCGATTAATCAACAATCTATTGCAATCAACTACATATTTTATATGGTAGAAGGTGGGAAACCCCCACGAAAACCACACCCAGTATGACACAGCTGATGATCCTGATGATATCGTACCTCCACCCATCACCTCCCATCCAGCGGCACACGTGGGAAATGTAGGCGAGGATTTTTCTTCCCAACAATTTTTGTGTGTTGTCGATTAGTTCAGTAATCGAACCAATAATTGATAGAGCAATTGGTTACTTAATTAATTGGATAGTCCAGCTCTAGCCAGGTGCCTGCCCTTATGACTTTCTGTGGGTTGGCAGTATGACAGACTGACAAAGAAACCTCTGTAATACATCCATTGACAATAACCTTAGCAGGCTCTTCGTCAAGTAACCACTTCTTTAAGTAACTAATGAGTTACTGTGTATGTTATAAGCTCTGATGTGTTTTTTTTGCTCATTTCTATAGAGCAGTTTGTTGTCCTTCCCCTACACCTCCGATTAGCACGGTTGGCTGTATACGGTGCGAACGAAGTTCAACATACATACCTCAGCCTGGTTGCACAGTATTTGTCTTGCTTTATTTATCAAGCTTCCACAGTTGGAATACACTATTAAGCAAAGTTATACTGTCTCAGAAATTGTGATGGTAAACATTTAAGGGAACTGCACTCTCGAGCAGAGAGCTACCCCTTTCATCGGCTTAACGAAGGATTAGCTTCCATCTTAAGAGTGCTTTGCTCGAAAACGCTTCTCAACAATATTTTGGTTGGCATATACCACTTTCCTGTAACGAAGCTAAATCACACAACCAGGAGTTAAACGGTACGTTTTTGTTTAGCCAGTCATGTTCAATGGCATTTTTGTTCATGCCTTGTTAGTGAAAATAACAAAATACAAGGAATAATTTAAAATTCATGCAATGTGTGACACATCACTGTTATCGTTTTATTTCACATTAAAAAAATATATTTCTACCATACTGCGTCTCAAAAAAGCTACAGTGAAACCCATTTTTGTTATATTCATATTGCTCATACATTTTAAGCCTTTAGATTGAGATACGTTTTGTTGAGCAACCAAACACTCTTGGCCTGTCCACGACACAGCATGGCACTGTAGCGACATGCGTAAGTCAAGTGACTGTCCTTTGCTGTCGGCTTCAATTGCCCACGTTTTTAATACATCAGTTCTGCCACTTTCTCATATTTTTTGATACATTTAGAGTTTGTATGCATCACAGGAAGAGCGTGCTAATGGAAAATGAGGGATACTGACAAGTCCCCTGCTCCATAGTGCACCCCTGTAAATGGGCTGTCAGTAGCAACGGCAACCCTTCCTTTGATGCGTCGTCTTTGCTAGTAAATCATCTCTCTAAAAGTCATTCACAATTAACATACATTCCTAAAAAATATATCAAGCGTACACTGTGTGCGTGGAGATTAATGTTCCTCGCGTGATTGTGACGTCGTATTTAATAATGTGATATACGACCACAATATATCATCATATGGCCGGGGTGGTGTTGCAGTTGTAGCCCCAGACTAACAATTAGAAAGTCAAATCCCTGTTGGCAGTCGACTTAGTCCATTATTTATCAAGTGTAGATACAAATGCTTGCCACTTCATGGGAAGTCAACAGTAGTTGTAATTTGGATAGCCTGGCACCTGCCACGGCAATGTGGAATTTTCACCTCCAGATAAGGGCTGTCAATATAGGCAAGTGCTGCTACATCGCTTGCTTGAGTAGGAAGGCACTTGAATTATAGCGTTATATCACGCAGATATATTTATTCTCCGTCCCCCTAATAATCACGTAATAATTGAAGCTAATGCCGTTGGTGCTCCCGCAGCTCATCATCGTTGCTTTCATATTGCTGGATCCCAAACCCACCGTTGTTGCAAATTCAACAACCCTCCCCCAAGCACTACTCTAGAAACAAACCACCACCTGGCTTTCGTCTTCCCTTTGAGTTGCTAACCCGTGAGTGTCCAAGCTAATGTTGTCTAAGTAGCCTGCCTTCCTCAATCCAGCACACGTGCTCCGCCCATCTAAACATATATACCTGATTATTTCTACAATATAGTACTTTCCTGCCGTGTTTAATCCTTTAAAATTCCAAGATGTTCATCCTCTATTGCCATGGTAATCCATTAAACACTTGCGCACGTCTCTATTAAACTTACGGAGGAGTCCTTTTTCGTTTGTGTGTTACGTTTTTTATCCAGCAATACCGATATTTCTACTCTCTTAAACACCCAAATTGTACATCAACGATGATCACTCTTTAAAAGTATTTATTTTTGTTTATAAAATACAATTCCACCATGTAAATGCTATTTCTCTTATACTCCTTCTGGCCGTGGCACATCCCTATAATCCAGCACTGTGGAGGTGAGGGTTAGTGGCTCAGAATTGTTGAAAAACACCCTTCCCGTGGGAATCGAGGTGCCATACCCTGGCTTGGCAGGAGAAGGCTCTACAGCAAATGTGGACTCCACCTGTGCTGTCTGCATGGGATAAAGTGTTGCCCCCTCACATTTCAGTTTCCTCCCATATATAAACATTCATTCGTTGGCCAATACCATTTTAATATATAGAGGATCACAGAGCTCGGGGATTAATTTAGCCCTAGCTCACTGCTTGGCTCCCTTTCCTGCTTGTCCTATGGTTCCTCGTTGCTCTGATTCATTCTCTCTCTCTTTGAGAATGAACGAATACTGTGCACGTTACAATATTCAATTATGATCAATCCACAATAGGACTTACTACTTTAAAATGTTAACTTCCTGATGGCACACGTGATAAAGTTGTATGAACGAAATCTGTAACCACGTCTGATTAGCACAGTTGGCTACGTACGGTGCGAAAGAAGTTCAACATACATACAACCACTGCCAGTAACCTACTTTTTTTTAAATGAAACTAGTATTTGGTGATGCACCATTGGCGGTGGTGCGTAAGCACCACCGCCAACGTCGTTCGTGACCAGGCAGCCATCACCTGCCTTGGTCACGCTGTGTAGTGTTCCCCGAATGTTAGTGAAATTAGGAACGATGGTCACCACCTTATGTATAATGTTCACGTTGGTTGTTATGCGTGAATAAATAGTGTTGCCTCCAAGTTGAGTGTGCGCCTCAATCGAACCCACTACAAAAATAATAAATAATAAAATAAGCCAAAAACTATGACGTTTCTATCACGACACAAGCGATCGTCATCAGGAGGAAAGAGGGGGACAGCTGCTGACTGCAGACTGTTTTATAGGTTTAATAGAATGGTGTAGTCATAGGGTCACCCATTTTAAACCTATAAAATAGTCTGCATTCAGCAGCTTTCTCCTTCTTTCCTCCTGATGACGATCGAAACGTCTTAGTTTTTTGTTTATTTTATATTTATTATTTATATTAATTTGTACCTATCTACGTGACTTTACCGAAAGACCCAAAGAACTTTGATTATCTTAATTCATAATAAAGGTTTTTGGGTTAGATCGCGTAAGTATAGATGTGACACATTTATACCTACGCGATCTACCTCAAAAACCTTTATTATGAATAATATTGGTCGCGAAAGTCTACGTGTTAAACTATCATAATGCATTTCCCCCAGTAACTGTCTTTACTAATACTTTCTACGGTTGCTGTAAAAATAAACAACAACCAGCATTTTAATAGCAAAGTATTGCTTTTAGCCAAATCATGTGTAAGTGACTGCAATAAACATATCCATTAAAAGGTACTGATATTGCTTTCTACACAACAATAACAATATATTGATCTTAATTCACGTAAAAATGCTGCTGTTTAGTGTCATCGCTGTCTGTGTGAAAGGAAACACTACTGCATTTCCTCGTTTCAATTGAGCAATGAGTGTCTTGTATGTCTGTGTTCAATGGGTTGGAAGAATATTTTATTTTCTGTCGTTATTGGTCACTAAATTAGTTCTCTTTTGCAGGTGGTCACTCTGCTGAATGATCTATACACATGCTTTGATGCCATCATCGATAACTTTGATGTATACAAGGTAAATGCTGTGTAAACCATGACTGATGCACACAGAACGAAATACTTTGTACACACAGGATTGCATACATACACACACATTCCCCCGCACCTCCAATTAGCATGGTTAGTTACGTAAGGTGCTAAAGAAGTTCAACATACATACATACCTTTTGGCATTCTCTGGTCTAGCACTGGTGAGACAAGGCCATAAAGAACGTTGTCTCTGGTGTAAGCCAATCAGTTTCAAAGTCAATGCATTTCTAATCGGCATTTGTTTATTTGCATGTTTGCCATTATTCCTTGCAAAATTGATCAATTTGGTGTTTGAACATTTTAAAACCTGTTTTATTGCCAGAAAGGCTAAAACCTCTTCTAATTTTTCATCCATATGTAGTGAGTTGAACTGAGTCGCAGACGTACTCTTGGAGACAATACATTTATTTAACACCAACACACAGGGTAACTTCCCCTTCACAGAATAACAACCTATGGTGGTGACCACCAGGCTAACTACACTAATTACTACGTAACTAGCTACTACGGACCGGGACCACAACTCGGGTCCAAGTACACGTGTTGGAGACTCCGAGAATGTAGACGAAGGTTTCTTCAGGATCAACAACAACGCCGGTCCCTCTGGGGGACCCAGCTTATATTCTCTGCAGCGTGGCTCGCTCCGCCCTTGGCCACGACCACCTTCCAGAATCCTCGAGCTGGATCTGGACCCAGACCACGTGACCACCCGTAGCCCCCACTTGCGGCCCTTTTGTCGACTTAACTGGTCACGTGTCATCTTGGGTCAACCAGAGTGCCATGGCCTTTAGTAACCTCCTTCCTACAGCCGGCACTCCCACACCCTATCCTGTAGGGCTGGCACTGCACGCCAAGCGTGGTGCTACCTAATGCTGTCAACCAGTTCTCACTAAGCCCCTCTAGGGCCAATACTACACCCACATCATACTGGTGTCTGTGATGTCGTTACATCACATGCCGTGCATGCGATGTACAGTGACATCCCGCGATGTCACTACACATATATATGTAGTGAGTCCAACTGAGTCGCAGACGTTATCCTGGGAGCAACACTATTTATTCACATAACAGTACATAACATAACACAACCTACACTCGGGTCTCGAATGCCCATCTAACCACGCTACGGCAGAACTAGACACGGTTCGCTATCCCGGTCCGGACCACAAGCTGGGTCCCGGACCGCGTGACTAGAGGCTTCTTCTCCCTGACGTGGATCTTCGAACATAAACACTTGAAGAACCCCGAGCTCCTAGCGGAGCCCTCGTTATATGCTCCCGGGCTGGGGCTGGCTCCACTCTCAGCCCCGCCCACCTTCCAGGCTCCTCGAGCTCCTTCTCGAATGTTCCCGAGAGCCCCTCGGAATCACGTGACCACCCCTCGGCCCCCGTCCACTGGTGGCCCCCCTCCAGTATCGTCCGGTCACGTGACAACAGGTCAGCCAGAGTGTCATGCCCCAGAGTAATCCTGGCTGACACTCCCTCTGGCTCCCTCACTGGGAGCCGGCACCGCACACTGCTCGCGGTGCCTCCGCACAACGATACCGGTCATAACTCCATGTACAGTCACTACATATACATGGCATCCTCTATTTTTCAACCACATAAACTATTCAGACTTAGGACTAAGTGACAGTACGTGCATTGGCGTTCACATTAAGGCATTTATGTATGTCGTAATAATAATACATTCATAGTATAACATCATAACGTGATATTTTAAAAGTATTAAACATGAACATTTTTCAATATAATACATCTATAATACCATTAATACAATAACAATAATTATAATAGTATATTGCAGTGACCAAAAGCATTGTTGTATAAATATTGGAATTTACTTAAAAAGCTCATATGATTGTTAAACAACAACAGAAATGTGATCATTACACTTAGCAGTAAAGCATTGGGGAAAGCAAAATAAAGATTGATAACATCGCCTTATATATCCAGTACATACTTTGGAAATGTTTTAGTGGAAATATATATGTTTAAAATATAATCAGATAAGAAATCACATTATTTAATAATCTCCCCACAAAATTGCTAATCAAGTTTCTTCTTTCATGCATTTTCAAGAGTGCTATTTCATGCAACTGCATTTATTATAATATGGAAAGATTAAAACGAAGAAATGCGAAATGCTTCGGTTGCCATTTCACAGCTTTCACACAGGGCTCACACAGACTTCTACTGCATATGTGCCTTTCCTTCCAGTACCATAGCTTTGGCAAGATAAGCATATTTATGACTTCACCCTCTGCAAATCTCAGCGTTTCATTTTTCATTGGATCCCAGTTTTGCCTCTCTTCCGAGAATGTTATGACGACATCTTTAATTATACTTTAGTGACATGTTTGTGGCATCGTGTTTGTGGCATCTCCTGCAGGTGGAGACAATAGGAGATGCCTATATGGTGGTGTCGGGGCTGCCCGTGCGGAATGGGAAGCTCAACGCCAAAGAGATCGCCCGCATGTCCCTGGCACTTCTAGATGCCGTGAAAACATTTAAAATACGGCACAGACAAGAAGACAAGCTCAAACTGCGGATAGGCATTCACACAGGTAGACCACAAAGACGTTTTTCATTACAATCGCAGTTCAATAATCGTATCAATCATAGGTTGCAGCAATGGTTTTTAGTATGATATAATTAGGCGGCCCACACAGCATCGGATAAATGGCTGTGATTACAACTCTTAAAGGTTTCAATCTTGATTTGAAGTTTTCGTGACTGCAGTTCTTTCGGTAAAGTCACGTAGATAGAAAATTAATAGATCACGACGTTTCGATCGCAACACAAGCGACCGTCTTCAGGTGAGCGAGAGAGACAGCTACTGAAACAAGGTCTTATGTAGGCCTGAGATGCGTGCAGCCTCCGGGTAAGAGGGCAGGGCTAGAGATGGTCTGCCTGAGGTTGTTGAAGTGGCTATTGTATTGTGAGAGATTAGCATGTAAATGCACAAGCTTAGTATGCCTCAGCATTGGTGACTTGCCTAGTATGTCGCAGTGAGAAGGACATCCAACCCGTCAATAAAAAGACATCCAACCTAATATTGCAACTCAGAGAGTCAGATAAAATCGCAGAAAGGATGGAAATATCACAGCAGGTTAAGACTGTACCTGGTTAATCACGTCCTTCCAATGATTGCTAAATTTGTACCCATCTTTTTAGTTGAAGTTGTGTCTGTGTTTATATATCTGGATGGCTTCATGAACAAATCTCTGATGATAGCCAGTGGGCTTGCAGAGTACCTTCGTATTGGAAAATTTTTGTGTATGCCCACAGCGATAAAACAATGATCCGCAACGGCAGAGGTATTGGTCCTACCGTGCTTCAGATCTGCCTTGTGTTCGCGAACATGGTCCGAGACATGTCGTTTCGTTTCCCCAATTGTAGACACCAGGAAATTGCATGTCAGGAATCACATCCTTTACAGATGGGATCAAATCACGGATTTTGTGTACTGTGTTGAAACGAACCTGGATCTATCCATAATATATATTTTTGTGTCGTTAAACGCGCCACCACCCGACACAGCCAATTAGTAAGCTTTGTCATGTAAACAGAACATGCCAATTCGTCACTAGTACAGCACACCGGTGTGTTGGAGAGACAATCCATACATTTCGCCAGTAATTACAACTAGCTTCATCAGGCGACAGCCAGATTTATGATTTATGCAATGTAATGAAATTTGGGCCCATTTGTGGACTGTTAAAATACCTACCAGTGTTAAAGGGGAGGTGACAACAGCTAGGCCATGGGGTATTTACATGTGTGAGTAACGGTGATAAAAAAAAAAACTAAAGTTGGTGCTGCATTAGATTGGTTTATGCAGAAGTAACATTTTAATGGTAAGGCTCTCTCACTCAAAATTACTGGTCAGTCACTTGGCCAACAGGCTTCAGATAAAAGGCATTAGACAGTCTATTTCATGGTAGACTAAGCACATTTTACTGAGAGCTTTTCTGAGTATGTCAACAGTGTTCAATAAAAGGATGTTGCATGCCAGTTTTGTGAAATCAAATTCAACATGATTTGTCATTTCAAAAATATATTTTATTTTAAACATACTTAAGAGTACTGATTTTTTTTAATTAATGACAAAAGTGACACTTTGCATCACTTGATTTGTTTGTGTATTGCTGGGACAATCATACGTTTTGCGGTGCTTAAATGACAGTATATTAATATATGTGCATGGCATTATGTGTCCACTTGACGTTACGCATATCTTTACAGTACAATTTACATTTCATCACTTCTGCGGACAATTTACAGGGTGCAAATGTCTCCTCTGACAATGCCAAATAACATTTGGCTTCACAGACAATACATTACCTCAAAAATGAGCAGTGTAATGTTAGTCATGTCGTTGTGTTTTAGGTCCAGTCTGTGCCGGTGTCGTAGGACTCAAAATGCCGCGCTTCTGTTTGTTTGGTGACACCGTAAACACTGCTTCGCGCATGGAGTCCAATGGTGAAGGTATGTGATTGATACGCGCGGCTTGATTATCTGAAAGATGTTAAAATTACAACAATGTTTGTGTAAATGACCTGATAAAAGTTTACAGTGGCTTATTGACCAAAACAAGATAGACTTCAGTTAAGTGTAGCAAATTTTTCTGAAAATGTATCAAATAAAAATACCAGGGTAAGAGGTCAGGATTCCAATTTGATGTCGCTGTACTCATCCCCACGGAGGTATGTGAATATCACATTTCCACGGTGGATAGTCCTATAGCTTGCTTCTCCTATTTGGCATACATGTGTTAGGCACAGACCCTGAGGTTGAAAGGGTGGTCTATTTACATTTCATGACGGTAAAGCAACAAGGCAGTTACCAGGTGTGATTGAAATCTGTGGCCTGACATACAAGTATTTTCTACAATAAAGGGTGAATGTTCACCTGAAATTATACTATTTATGAGAGAATTACAACATCGGATAGCAATAGATTAACTGTCATTTTACTGTGGTATAAAAATGACATTTTGTGAGAACTGAAAAATGTGGAATTCTGAGCTGAAAGCAGTCATAAAATATATTTAAAAGAAGGACATGACCCTGCCTGAAATCCATTACTGATATGGGACATGCATTATGTGAATCTGTTCCATCGTGTTCTATGGTTAAGAGAGGGGTACACAATGTTAGTGTTGAAAGAGGCTTGTTAAGATGATCGATCCACAGCCTGGGCATCTTCCAACTTGAGCAACTCAAATGTCAATACAGTTGATGATCCCCTTGCGAACAACTGTTTGACAATTGTAAAGATTTCTGAGAATCTTGACCTTTTATATGATACCATACAAGCTGACAATTTGAGTATACACAAGGTGTCTGTAAGATGGGCGTTTAGAATGTAATCTGTCAACCAGAAATGAACCAGTTTGGCATGGTTAGGCATTGCCTTTTCAGAGTGTAAGCCTCTGCTGTAAATGCATTGAACTCAACTTTGAGGGATGCGGTTTGAGTAAAACTATTTGCAACATGTTGGCATCATCACAGGGTAGTATTATACATACTTGCAAAATTGTGCAATGCAGTAAAAAAATAGGCGAGACAAGCTGGGACATTGCTCGTGAGAGTGTAGTCGTGTAATGTCAATGCACGGTTGAAGGGGTGAGATAGAGAGTTGTTCTGTGTGGAGATTAAAACCTTGGGACGTCAATGGATCAATTACATTGGATGTCAACGGGGACTATGTAGAAAAAAATGACAGTTTAATGAAGGTCAGTAATTGCTTTCAATCCCAGGCCATAGACTTTCCAATCCTCCAATTTAAATATCTTGCTCCCTCCCCTCACAATTACATCAGTAGTACATATAATGATGATACAAATCTGAAATTGAACTGCTACAGAGAGAAACCCCCAATCATTGTGAGATGTCCTTAAACCAAGTAATTAGCACAGCCTAAGAATTGTCCGACTGTCCTATTCATCACATAAAGGGCGGTGACATGGGCTAGCGGTAGTGTGTCATTGCTTGTTGCAGAGGTTCACAGCTGAAATCAAGTGGCTGCCCTGATTTTTACTGTGGGTGAAAAAACACATAATATGCAGTCTGATTCACAGTGCCGTCATTCGCACGAGTAGGCCATTGTGTTCTGGCATCAGGTTCATATTTGTCAAATTTGATAATTGCCAGGAAATTACTCAATTTGAATTATACATAGCAATCATTGCCCCTCACTGGAAGACGAATACCCTAGGTCACTCTTGCAAATGAGGCTGTCCTGGTCTCTAGATTTCTCACCTGGTGAAGTCAAATGAACTTGAAACATTGATGGGGATGCTGCTAGCGTTTGTAAATAATAATCTCCTCTCTTCTATTTTTCAGCTTTAAAAATTCACGTTTCACAAACTACAAAGGAAGTTTTGGATGAGTTTGGCTGTTTCAGGCTGGAGTTGCGCGGTGATGTGGAAATGAAGGTATATAAAGAACATTTTCTTTTGCAACTGCATTTATTTTGCACTTTGAAATTATATTTTACTGTTATTTACTGTTGCATATTTTAACAATCATTCCTTAAATATTCATACATGTGCATACATTCCAATCTTCCATGAGTAATATTATTTAAATATAGGGTCTCATGAATGTAATGTGATGGCTTTATACATATATATATTCCAAATTAGCTCCAAATTGGTTAATTAATATAGTCTTGATTATCCCAATGCCATTCATAAGCTTGTAATGAAAAGACTTTTTTATTTTTCACGTGCTTAACTACGTATAACAAATAAAATAGGTATTTTCGAATTGCTTGATTCATAATCTATCACAGCAATGAATTGACCGAAGGGCTGAATTTGTACATGTACAAAGGCAATTTAAAATCCATGAAGCAAAATTCATATTTATAGCTGTGTTCTGCCTGACTTTGTTTTGAAAAAATGAAAAATGTAGACTCATGTTTGTGCTTCTGTCATGTCCTTTGATGCCTATTATCCCTAAGATTGTACTGACCTACCGATTATTTGCAGAGTAATCTTCCTGCGATCTCTTTTTAATGGATAATAGGAAGAATACAGAGGGACATTGTCATAACAATGGATAATGTGAAGATGTTATTAAATGGAGAGGAATTTTGTATAATAAATGTGTTGTATTAATTGCAGAACAGGTGAAGTATTACACTTTGCTCTCAATAAAGAAAGATGTGCGTCAGATGTGCATACAAATGATCATGTTGGGATAGGTGTTAGTGACAACCTAACCGTTATTTGGCTGTCATTGCAAAATACAATGTTTAGATACGTTCATAAAAGCTTCACAAAATGGGATGGAGCAGTGGTGCAGTGGTTAGCACACTGTACTATAAACGCAGTGACCTACATTTAATTACTGGCCAGAATAAACATCAGTGGGGAATAATATCTGAACTGGTCCTGGGCTCCACTTCAACTAAAACCTACACTAATCAGCGTGGCAATGCTCAGTCAAACAATCACCATGACTGAGACAGCATGTGTAGGATTTAATCCAGCAGTGGATTGACAAATGGCTGTTTATTTTTTCTATCTCCTAAATTTCTGATAGGAGCTTTTAAAAAAAAAAATAGAGCCTCCTGATCTTAACGAGCTGTTACCTGGTTGAGATGGAATCTTTATTTATCCATAGCTTTGTATAACTGCTATAGGGTCTCTCCCATATCATTACAGATAAGAGGAGCATCATTGTGCTGTATTTATGTTTGTAAATTATAACTGCTTATTGGAATTGTGTTGCCTGCTACACATTATTCACCACTTGGGAACGCTTCCCCTCTCTTCCTCGTAACTGTCGTTGTTTGCAGGGAAAGGGGAAAATGAGGACATATTGGCTTCTGGGAGAAATTGAGGAAAATCCAGAAGCGTAACAAATGATTCAACCAAGATGTAAATATTTTACTATATTTGATCACATGAATTATTTTTGATTGTAACCTTCCTTGAAGAGCAGATGGAATTGTTTCTGTTTATTAGTACTGTATTTATTGCACTTTTGTATATGTAACGGGATATTTTCAAATCATTTGCATACCTACATTCACTATGGATGTTTGGAAGATACCATAATAAATCATGAAATTAACCCTGAAAATGTAGCCTGGACTCCAATGGGATTGCATTCTATTGTTCATATTGTAAATAACACTTTAAACTATTTTGTTAAAATGTGAAACATTCTAAATGTGATATGTTTATTGAATTGATATTGACATGAACACCACAACAACATGGAACTTTGTAGCAATACTGTGTTTAGCAACACGTGATGAATATTGAAAACAAAATGTAACGAAAAAACTTGGAATTTGAATACGATGGATTTTATATGATTTACAGTTTTATTTCACACACATTTAGTATTACAATTTTGTTTGGCGGGCATAAAATATGTGCAGTCTAAAGGTTAAAGGTAAGTGAATTATTGTATCCTTGGTATATATTATACTGTATCCTGTAATAAAATGAATTTCGCTAGCGTCCACTTTTTTCTGGGTTAAATATTTAAAATTGCTTCATTAAAATGGTGTGTCCAGGCGCTCGCTGATTGGTTTGCTAAAAGTGGTGTTCTTGAGAAAGGGTTTCTCTCTTGACTTGATGTCTGTTACTCCCTAAAATATAATAAAATGCACATTATAAAGCATCCAAGTACTGTATATAATAGAGAACATTAAAATATCTTTATTAAGCAGTGTTTCCTAACACATCTATAGTTGTTACATATGTAAGTGGTATTATAATATGGAATACTTTCTTGCAACTTTGAATTAAAATTGTGCATATTTTCTTATGGCTATAGTACAATAAACATCAAACAATATCAAGATAATCTTGCAGACAAACAATCATATATTTTTGGTGGAAGTAAAACCATTACGTGGGTAATTTCAGATATGCTGCAGAGATGTACTCCGTATGAATGCTGTTTATTTAGATTGTTATCATTACCAAAACATTACATATATGGCCAGGACAAACACTATTATGGAGATGATGCCAGCGAAAAATAATGGTTTTAATTAATGCGTTTGTTAAATTAGTTTTTTGCCAATATTAGAAAATGTGTCTTATGTTTCGCATCCTTTGCTATTTCCATTGAAAATTTGTGGTAACTGCCTTACTGCCAACACACGGATCAAACAGTTGGGAGTGTAGCCAATAAAACATGTTCAACCTTTATATATCTATTAAAAGTGTTTTTTTTATGTACGAGGTAAAGAAAAACAAATTGAAATCACATTACGTACAAATGAAAATGCATATGCGATTGTGGGAAATGAGATGACCATGTATATAACAATAAAAACCCAATTCTGTAGAGGTGGAAGACGAGCCTTTGTGAGGATTCAAAATAAGACACTGGGGATATGAAGCGTTCTTGTCCTCATAAAATCAAGATGGAATTAAATGGTAGTACAATTTCCGATAAGCATGAAGGTGATACTGATGATGATGATGACGGTAACAATGTTACTGTGCATGATAGAAAACAATTGTACAAAACTCTTCCTCAACAAAATCTCTTGTCAGCCTTCCCCATCGTTTCCCAACCGCTCATCGACTAACCCTCCAGTAAAGCAGAGCGATGTAGTTACCTGTGAATTGCTCGTTCATGAAGTCACATTATTCGTATGAGATTGAAGTAATATGAAGTATAACTCGAAAAATGATTGTATCTTTACATGTATTGTTTATAATCGATGTTATATGTATGCTATTGCAACGGTTCCAATTGCAACAATGTGCTGTGGTATTATCTATTATACAATAATATGAAACACGTTTCGAAAGTGTTCAATAACTTTGGGCGCCATGGAATGTATACTTTTTTCCAGTGACATTTGTTCTTCCATTCTTGATGGCATTAGTCTCTTATGCAGCAGTACAGATATTTAAAACAAAGGACAAAATGCATTGTCGGTTCATACATTGTATCTTCTGAATAACAAAATGAAGATTACTCATTTCAATGTCCAAATACAGAATTGGATGTAAAATCAAAACTCATGGTTTATCTCTTTAAATCGGGAAAACAGTGTAGGCTCTCACCTGAATGTTGTTAACATTATTGGACCAATAGGTGATTGGCTGCTCCGTGTGATAATTATGTGCCTGAAAACAGCAAGACAAGTGTTAAATTGAATGTAAATTTGCTTTCGGCTAAGGAAAATGCAAAATAGAATGAAAGGAAGCACTGACTCATTTCTGAGTCAAATGGATTTTAGTTTCCACATATATAGTAGTAATAATACGCTCAGAAAATACTTAAAAATACGTTTTGCAGTTGTTGCAGACGATATGTCAAACTTAACTGTTAATCACAAGTGGTCAAGCCTCCGGCCTACCTTATTGGGAAAAGGGGGCTCCGGTTCCAAGGTGTAATGAAATAAAGCTTGCTTTGTTGTTGAATATTGCTTGAGTGGAGCAATAGGACTTGACCTCTCCAGTACCTCCTTGCTGCTCATTAAATCATACAGAACCAGCATTTGATTATTGTGCACTCTATAAAGCACTTATTAGACACCAGTATATCTATCTGTCACAAATATCCCTGATGAAATACGTTGTAAAACTAGTTGCTGCTAAGCAAATCGTGTGGTGATGTGGTAATACAGAATTTGTAAAGTGACTTTTCGATACAATATTGAACAAAGGGAAAGAGTGATGATATTGTGGCCTCGTTCCTTTCCAGGTGTTACCAATAACACTTGTTCATCCTTCATCTCTCCCTTAACCACAATGGTCGTGAGGGCACCACCGATGCCTGGGCTGTCATCTCTCTTAACAGTTGCCTGTCCTTTGCAGTCTTTGTCAGGTGTTGTGCCGGCTTGTCAGTCCATGATATCACATTTGTCATACAGTTGATCTGGGGTCATTCTCTTATTTTTTTCCTTCTCCCCTGCCCTGTGAGATAATGTTGGATCGTTCCCCTTTTCGTGTCACATGTCCCAACCATTGCAGTTTATTCTTCTTCTTTACTATTGTCATCAGTGGTTTGTGTTCACCCACTTATTTTTGTAATTTAAACTCGAACTGATGAAAAAATTACCGATTGCATAATTGTTCCATCTTAATTGGTATAGTTTCTGTATCAGGGCAGTGAAAAACTTGTTGAGACAGAGATACCAAAAAGCCACATGGACCAAATATCTTTCAATTAGCCTTTTTGTACCAAACTGTACTTTCCCTCCTGCCCTACCCCCAAATGTGCACTAAATAATAGATTTAGTATATTGATGTTAGAGGTGAATTCAATTAAAATGCATATGTATTACGAAGTCTATATTGAAAGTTAAATATTTAATTTTAAGATGTGATAAACAACCCCGATATGTTTATACTGTATATTTGTTCCAGAAAAGCAAGCATTGAAAATTATAGATGACAGTTATAGATTGGTCAAATCCATTAACAGAAATTGCATCTGCATTATATGATTATTTATCGTAAAATATTGAAAACGAACACGTATGAAAGGTCATGCTGTAATCGACTGCCATGTATAATATCAGAATGGAGATTATATTTGTACTGGATGTCAAGAAAGAAATATGTGGCAGCTTTAATAATATATTCAATGCACTGTCATAGCTACAAGACCTTGAATTTCACTATTAAAAAACCCCTGTTTAAGTAAACTGAATTATCTTAGAAAAGTTTTATATTGTTGTCGCTACAGTATATATGTAAACACACGGTAAGCGTGTTCTGAAAACAAAAGGCCACAAGATATATTTAGATAAAGCAAAACTGACAAATTTCTTCAAAAGTTGCATGTCATAAGAAACTGACAACAGCAAACCATAACGTATGAGGGTTAACAGCCTACTTGCTATACTGCCATTTACTGAACACCTAACAGCCCTGGAGGTTGAGAGTCTCATGCATATTAAATCAGCATGATCCACAAATCCTGCCTCCATGGTACTGGGTTACACGCATGTGGTATGATGCCATGCAATATTAATCTTTACACTTTCCGTACCTTATTCTGTCACGAAGAGTCTTTTCCAGTAGCAGCTCCCTTTTTCCTGGGGGAAAAAATAATACTCGTAGTGGAATGGGCACAGATTTCTACGGAAATGTGTCCAGCGGCTGTACCGTATAACAATATATTTGTCAACAATAAACATTTGTGTTTGATATTTTTGTGTAGTTTCCTTTGTTTGACCAAGTGGTATTTTGGACAATATTTTGAGAAGTTAATTCACAATCGTTAGTAATATTTTCGTAACAATTTTTTTTTACATAAAATACAGAGCATTCACACTGGGACTCATCAATCTTTACGTTGAGATACGTGATCATGATACTATGCGTGCATAAGTTGGAGGTCTGGACAAAATCATATTAAATCAATTAAACAATCATCATCTTGATTATCATTTTCATCCATCATTGTCACCATCATCATCCCTCCCACCACTCATGTAGAGTTCCCACAATCATCACTTGTGCTCCACATATAATAGGGTAGATGTAGTGCCCATTCGCAACATTTCGCTCTTAGTAGTGTTAATATAAGGGCCACTTTGTAAATAGAAATAATCATGGATAAACCCGATTCCAAGAGGCGTTTAACTCGACTATAAATTGGAAAGAGGCATTTCAATCAGCAGTGCACTAGAATCGTAAGTGAAAGTATACCATACTGTGGCCAGAAAACCATCACCTCGTGAGTACGAGTGCATGTGGAACGACACAAATGGGCCGTTCTATGGCGACAGTGGGTGTACTATACACAAGGGCTCACTAGAGGGCAGATTCCCGATGTCACGGAAGTCGGGTCAGGACATGACACTCCGGGTGAACCCGCGAGAGCACGTGACCGGACGAGGGGGCACGGGGGCCCCCAGATGGGGGTGAGCGGGCCACGTGATGTGGACCCAGAGTCTTCGCGAAGGATCGAGAAGAGGGCGTGACCAGAGGCGGAGCTCGGTCACGCCACAGGAAATATAATCCGAGCCCCAAGAGGGAGCGTGGCTGTCGTCTTCTCCGATATTCGCTCTTCAGTATGTGACGACACGATGACACGACGGCTTGTCGGCAGTTCTGGTTCAACCATTTTGGGAATCCATTCAAGTGGTTACGAACAGTGGCTACCACCTTACGTCGTTAACCTGTAATGTACATAGTCGCTCGGAATGTACATAGTTAACCTTGGAATGTTGAATAGTGTTGGTTGTGTTAAGAGAATAAAACGTGTTGTCTCCCAGTCTTGGTGTACGCCCATCATAATAACATATACATTGGTCTGCCATACCTTGCTCATTGGGTTTAATTGTATGAAATTAGCATTCTGTTTTTAAATGCTCCAGTATTTCAGATACTGTACGCTAAAGACACCAACCTGCCTCTCGCTACTCACCTTTGGTGCGAAAAGCTGTGTTAGTCGGCAGGCTGTCGATGTCTTGTCTGGTGGGCTCAACACCCCTTTTTCTTGTGAGTGTGGCGCTCTCAATGCTGAAGTGGATTCCACAGGGCGGGCCAGTGGTGAGGCCTTTATCCTCCTCCACATGTTGCCTCATCTGATGCAAAGACATACAAGAGCACACGATATAAAACAAATTCTCTCCATGACGGAGTACGATTGCATTTTGGCCATATTTATTCAGCTTGATGTGTAAATATTTGAATGATTTTGTCATGCATTAATAACCCTAAATCCTACTCTTAATATATGAAATTACACTCTGAGTAGGCTAAATGGACTCCATATTCTTAGGTTATTTCGGTAAAGTATATCTACGTGACTTTACCGAAACAATCAAAGAATATGAATTACTTAAGTCACGAAAGTTTTAAGTCTAAATAGTCCAAGGTTGTATACTTCCTCACCAACTAGAACTATCATATGCGGAGGAAAAACTTGCCACAGTATTCAAATAAAATGTATTCCATTCCTCCTGAACTCAAGCGGTTATAGTGCAACTATAGTATAGTTCTGATGTAACGGTCATGGTAAGTGTGCAGGATGCCTTAAAAGTGTAGAGGAGTAATGTGAGCAACCATGAGAGGGCATACAGAGGGAGGTGCGAGCGAGTTGACAGCGGAGGATGACGTCATTTCACGGGAGCTGTAACGGGGTACCTTCGGGAACAAAGGCGGGTCCGAGTTAGGGGGAGGAGCCACCCAAGGGGTACTTAACGGGGACCCCGTGACGAGGGCGTGGTCGTTGTGGGAGCCCGGAGTGTGGATCGGCTGCAGGAGATCTCTCCCGCTCATCGCCGGATGGTGTTGGCTGAACCCCCGTCCGGGGCAGACGAGTGGGAGAGCCAAGGGGATAGCCGAGAGTAGGGCTCCAAGTATTCAGTGAGGATCGGCTGAGAGAGAGTGGGTTCTTCTCTCCTCGTTGCCGGGCTGTGTTGAATGAGCCCCCGCCCCGGCCCGAGTGAGAGAGCCCAAGGGATAGCCGAGGGTAGGACGACATAGTGTTCGGGGGTCCAGGGTAAGGACCAAGAATAGAGAGCACCTACCCTTGGTGTGAGCTTGAGTGCTGAATGTAATAGTGTTTAATAAACGGTAACAGCCCTTATAGTAAATTCCGTCTCCGTGTGGTTCTACTATACAACAAAAGTAATGTCTCCTATTTGTATGCCTCAATACATTTCTATGGAAGGCAGTATGCAAAACATGCAGAGATGTATGCTTGTGATGACATAAATAGGAATATTTGGATCAGAGAATATACACAAATTAAATACATAATTTTGACTCTTAAGAAAATAAAGTGGTCTTGGGCAGGATGCATTACTGGAAAAAATTATATAATATGGACAAAGCTGGTGAAGGTGTGGTAGCCAAAGGAAAGATCAGCTTATGCGCTGGTGCCAGATGATTTGTGGCATTGCAGGACTGTGAAGGATGGTGACTGTAGGGAACCCTGAATTCAGCAGTAGACAGTGCATAGCTCATGATACACAACTGTAGATATATATTCCTGGGAATGTCAAGAACATTTGGCTATTTTCAAAATTGACGCCATTATTTTTGATGCACTTACACCTACGGGGAACCTGGGGTAGCATTTCATAATGTTTGAAGGCTTTATCAGTGCCACTTTGTCAAGGTATTAAAGGTGAATGCATTTAGTCGTCGTTAAGCTCCATAAACAAGTCAACAGTCGCACCTCCGATTCACATGGTTGGATACGTATGGTGCGAAATAAGTTCTACATACATACATACATGCTTAAATATTTGCAAAGAGCACCATGTGTGGCAGTGCCATTTTTGGAACATCGTTCACATAGGCAATTCCACAAAGGACAAAATTATGATTATCTGGAGGTGCTATATCAGGTTTGTAGATTAGTGAATGAGGCAGCACAGTCCACCAAACTATGCAATGGCCTGTAAAATGTACAAATGCTTTGGAATCTTAATTAAGAACAACAATCTGTATACATACATGCTTGAATTTGCCCATAGACTTACTTATTTAACAAAATGCTGCATTTATCTGTCTTCAAATTACCCGAGCTGATTTATACTTTATTTGAAGCTTTCGTGACTGCAGGAATCCATACTCTTTGGTTCTTTCGGTAAAGTCACATAGGTAGAAAAAGAATAATAGATCACAACGTTTCGATCGCCACACAAGCAACCGTCTTCAGGTGGGAGTGAGAAACAGGCTGCTGAAACAAGTCCTTATATATAGAGCCGAGAAGGGGGGACGGGGGGTTTTGCCGCATCGGGCAAGAGCGTGGGGGCTAGAGCTTGTGCTGAGGAGGTGGCCATTGTATTGTGAGAGATTAGCATGTCAATGTGTATTGACGGTATATCAGCCACTAGGGGGATAGAGCGCTGAACAGGGTGAAGGAAAGGCGCGGAGATGATCGAGGGTCGAGTGTAATGACGATATATCAGCCACTAGGGGGATAAAGCGCACAGCAGGAGACACACACACAGACAGAGAGACAACAACAACAACCGCCATTCGCCACTAAGTGACGGTGACGTCACCACGACGCTTGTGCCAGACCATGTGCACCTTGAGGCCACGTGAAGTGTCGAATGCCCGCTGGCAGGAGGTCATGGTGCAGACTCAGGTGCCACGGGTCGACTGACTGAGATGACTGGCTGATACACCACCTGTGCCCCCTACTGTGCCAACTTGCTGTGCTTTAGCCACCCGGCGCTCCGCTCATTGTTGTGAGCGTCGCTCCTCCGCCCTCCGTTGTTGTTTGAGGGCGACTGCCTCCAACTGCCCAGTGGCGTCCTTCACGAGCCTCCTCCACAGAGGCCGATCTTGAGACCGCTGGTACCAGTCATCGGCAAGTCCACTCAGCTCCACATCCTCCTGTACCACATCACTCCATCTTTTATCTAGCCCGTGCCACGCCCATTTAGCCCACTCGATCCGGCCGAACAAAAGCTGTTTAGGCATGCGGTGGCTGGGCATGCGGGTACATGGCCCAGCCAACGCAGCCTTGCCTGCCGTAGGAACTCACCGATGGGACTTTGTCCAGATCTTTCAAGGATTTGTGAGCTCCTCACACATTCCAGCCTGGTTAAACCCAGGATGGATCGTAGGCAGGCCAGCCTAAATGTTCCATTAAAGGAGTCCACATTTCACAAGCGCAAAAAAGGGAGGGAATGACCATGGCCGAGAAGACCTGGAGCTTCGTGCGGAGCGAGAGACAAGGTAGCTTCCACACAGCATTACGCAACCGATGAAAATATAATGCCGCTCGACTGATTCGGAGGGAGACCTCAGCTGTTAAACCGGAGCCGGTCATGAGCACACTGCCCAGGTATGGGAAACTCTCCACTCTCTCCACAACTGCCCTATCACCAATTTGGAGTTGTGGGGGTGGATTGTCCGATTGTACAAAATACCCAGGCAGGTGCTTAGTTTTGGTGGGGCTGATGGTAAGGCCCCACCTCTTAGTGGCAAGCTCCAGGTTCAGCAGCAGCACCTCCAACTCCTCCTCTGAGTGAGCAGCAATCACCAGATCATCGGCATACATAACATGGTTGAGCAATAGGGAGCCATCCCTTGACCGTACCCGGGCATGGATCAGCCTCCCATTGTATCTGTACCAGATGGAAATTCCTCCGGTACAGCCATTGAATGCTTCACGAACTACGTGGTTAAAATAGATGTTAAATAATGTGGGAGCCAGAGGACATCCCTATCGCACCCCAAGGTGTACAGAGAATGGCTCTGACAGAGAGACACACACACACACACAAAGACAGAGAGAGAGAGAGACACACACACACACAGACACATAGAGAGAGAGAGACACCTAGAGAGACACAGAGAGAGAGAGACACACACACACAGAGACAAACAGAGACACACACAGAGGAACACACCTAGAGAGAGAGAGCACTATGCTCAGCTGCCTTTACCTCCCCAGTGCTGATATTTACACACTGCATCAGGTATCCATTTAAGGTTGACCCAACCCACGGATGCCCAGTACAAACAGGTTCGGATTTCACATGCCAATGATCTTAACTGTATGTGGGAGCCAAACCCCTGTATCTAGGATCATAGAATATTGCACAAACCACTGAACTTGGGTCGCCGGGTTCGTCGCAAAGTTCGCTAACCACTCTCTATACTCTCACGTACACAGACACAATGGAGGGACACCCCCGAGTTCTTCCTGGCAATGTCACCCCATGCCCAGCGCATTTCTTTTGAAGCTGCGTTTAGTTTATTTTTCATTTAGCACAATAGTTTTTTTGACTTGAAAATGTTGTCACACATGTTTTGCCCTGTTTTTGCTGTATCCATAATAACTATTACTTTCCTGCAAAAGAGATTAGGGGTGGGGGTGGTTTGGGTCACTATGCCCTCGGGCAGTGTGCAAAAAAAAAACTGTTGTCGATGGTGTTACTACGTTTGACAAACGGCGTGCCTCGTAGGTGGCATGGCAACAGAGCCCCCACCTGACCCTGTCCTCACACATGCCACCGAACTTCAAAAGACGAGAGCGTGCATGCTCGGTTCGAGTGTGTCACACATCAGACTCGCTGGGGACTGAGATACCGGTAGATATGTGGAAAGGCCAGATATGTGAATGTGTACATGAAGTGACGGTTACATCATGTACAATTAAGGTACCAGGACAGAAATAAAGTAAAACACGCCTTTGAACGAGGGGGGGGGGGGGGGGGGGAATGCTTGACTATAGAAGTATGTGAATAAGAGATTAACAATGGAAAACTATATGTGAAATAGATGGTGTATATCTATATATATCTATATACACCATGCACAACAACTGAACTGGGATGTGGCTGGTTAATTGGCCAGGGCGCATATGCGATGGTAAAATAAACGATGTTGCTTCGACAATTCCACCCCATCAATTTCCTCCACAAAAGCACTGCTGGGTATGCATCTCTCCTGCCCCGTGGAGGGTTGGCGTGTTTACTGATTTACTCCGACACCTAGCAATGCTCCCGCGTAGGTGGCAAAAATAACACACGCAAAAAAAAACCTGGTAAATAGGTGATAATAGTACCGGCACCCGCAGGAAACACTGTGGACTTGTACTGAATGTGCAGGATGAAAAAATAAATAAACAGATGAGCAACATATAACGTTGTTTTGTTTGCAGAACAGGAAACAAAAAAAATCATCATTGCATGTTAGACCAACATAATATATCAACAATAATCTGATCCACAACGATTTTGATAAGTCTTCTGTTCCTAATGTAATTCTATATATTGAAAAAAATATTAAATTTCACCTGTGCAATGTAAATATTCTCATTTTTTTATGTTCTCAACAATTAGCTGGCAATGATTGATGAAGAGGAAGGTAATGTGGTGGTCGATGTTTGTTTTTGGGATGCTGTCCTGATTTTAATTGTCTGACCTCATACGGACAAAGGGCGGGGCTGACCTGAGTAGTGCTTGGCAGAGGAGGAGGTGGTTCCTATGACCAAAATGCAGGGCCAACGTTATACTGGTAGGAACCACCTGGTTCCACCAGCCCACAGGGGATTATTGTGTCCGTCCGTCCATCGTGAATCCAAAAATGGGAGGGCTGGGGCTAGTGGAGAGGGGAGGGTGGGGAGGGGCTGGGTGGGGAGGGTGGGGCTGGGTGGGGGGTGGGAGGGGTGGGGCTGGGTGGGGAGGGGCTGGTCACCCCGTGGTGCCCTTATAAAACTCAACGTTTAACCTACTCACCCCGGCTTGTGCCCGCCCTCACAGTCGGGCATATTTGCGGAATACACCACGCCGCCGTTGACTCTGGCCATTGACCGAGCAACCCAACGTTCCTACAAGCTCCCTCCGCAGGATTGTGTTACATAAGGGAGGCCACTAAATGTGTGTGCAGGGCTTTGTGATTTAGCGGGCGTTGCTATGTAAATGTGGGCTAGGATAACAGAGGGGCGAGCGATGAGCTCATCATGGTTGAGCCTCCCAGATAGTGGTGTGGGTGACGATGAGGGTGCTTATCGATTGACAAAGCTGCGGAAAGAAGATGACAATTATAGATATGCATGAAGATGATGAAGACAATGAAGGATGATGATGATAGCAACGAATTAATTTAATGATGTGGAAAATGGGTATAGATATAAGATACTTCATATACTGTACTCAAATGATGTTGTTCTTGAAACCAAAATACCTGAACTTTTCAGATGTACTCTTTTAACAAGTTCATATTCGTGGCTATCACACAAAACCTTGCTGAGTAACATACAAACTTTGGACTGCCATCCCTGAAACGCAAACAGAAAGGCCACCCAAAGCTGCTGAGATGTGTTATGTCAGGTAACCCGTTAGAATATAGGATTGATTGGCAGAAACTGAACTAGCTGTAGGATTTAGTACCGAGCATGCACGCTGAATTATCGAAACTGACAATAGCATTGGGTTGCCCTACCCCATACACCATGGGTAGAAAAATACAATAAATTATTTAACGCCAATTGTTATGCTCATAATACTTTAATAAAATGCTGTGCATAATAAACCATGTTTATTTAATCTCGATTTAAAGGGTTCATGTCCCCCATTCAACCACTTGAGGCATTAACGTTAACTGCAATGGTAAAAATGGGATTCTTAAATGTAAATGCGAATTTGAATCACGACAATTCATAATCACTCATGTGGAAAAATGTTCCACTCCCATCCTCACCCACCAGGAACGCTACCTTCGCTTAGCACCTTCATTCTAAACATGAACAACCAAGGCCGACAAGGCAAAAAGGCCTTGGAACTGAGAACCCAGAAACTCTTTTCACCTTCTCTTTTTTTCCCACGTATTATGTCGGTTTCAGTGCTGCACTGTCCTTTTGAACATACTTATTGCGCTTTAACAAACTATATCTCAATCATGATACTGATATCCAGGTGAACAATCAATAATTTTCTATTTCGGAACCGTCTGTATCAGCAGATCCACACAAAACGTTTCATCACGTGGATTTGCAATTGCTCTGTACATTACAATGGTAACAGTGTATTTCACACAACCATTAGAGTGAGATCATCAAAGGCAAGTACGTATGCGGACTTTCATCTTGGGTAGACATAGGACATTCAATTCATGGATTTCACTAGTGCTAGTTCAGTGTTCTCAATTGGGCATAAACGCCCTGAAGAAACGAAGCCTCTTATGTAATTTACGGTTTTAATGATTCTCCTTCAAAAATGCCTTGCCACAAAGCCAGGATTACTTACTAAAATTGTAACTTTAAGCCAGATTTTGTGGCACTGCAACACGATTGCTGATCTTCATATCTATTTGTACATCTGGTTGTTGAAATATTGCCTTTGGAAAACCGAGTATTTTTGTTATCAAGACCATTTAAATAAAATAAACATGTGTTGTAAATATATGACTTTGTATTTACACATTTGCAGATGTTCATGTATTCACAAGACATGAGTTACATTTAACAGGATGTTTAAGATTTAATAAAGATCACTTTTAAATGTATTTAGATCACATATATGAATGAATTACTTCTTCTTAAATGTAAAATACTATATTGTATTTTTCGATTTGAAGCTTTCGTGACTGCAGGGATTAATCTTCTTGGTTCTTTCATAATAAAATACAATTATATAAAATACAATTGTATTTTATACAATTGTATTTTATTATGTTTTATTTGTACTATTGTATTATTTCCCTTCTACGTGACTTTACCGAAAGAACCAAGAAGATACTATATTGTACTTTGATCACAATGTGGAATAACATAACACCGGTCATCATATGTACCCTCAATGCATTTACAGTAAATAGGCAGGAATACAGAACAGCCACAAAACCTATTTTGTGAAATAAGAATGTTACTTTTAATAGAAATGGGTTTATTGATACTTCTTTTATTTTAAAGGGGTTGTCTGTTACTCAGTACCTACTGTAATGAAACTATGCAAATATCAATTTAAAGTCTGGTCATCAAATCACATTACAATTTTTTTTATTAGGCCCCATGGTGTTAAGTGCAGTCTCCAATTCGTATTATCCGCTCCATCTCGCTGGACCTTCTATTTGCGTGCTACAAAGGGTAATTTGCCCGAAACGTCCCCTGTTACCTATGTTTTCTTATCAGGCTAAAGTGTTGTGTTTTTCAAAAAACACATATACTGTACTATCAATTGGTAATTTCATGAATAAACACCAGGATGTAATATAAGCACAATTCTGTACAATAGCAAACGCAATCTAATTAAACCTCGAGTAGTCTAGAGGCATAAACATAACATTAATTACATTTGACATAAAGAGTACTTTCGTGAACAATTGTCAACCGAAGGCGCCTTACAAACCCGCAGAAATAACTTTAAAAGCGGAGACACAAACTCATCAAATGTGACAACTTAAACTCTTCCCCGGCCATGTGGTACCTTCTCCACGTTCTTTTGCCGAGGTTTCGTTTCCAGCAGCTGAGGCTCACCCCCACTGTGTGTCGATTCCATGTTTCCTCCGGGTTAAAACAAACACCCGAAGCAAAACAAGAAATCAGTGCCACAGAGATGAGTGTGAAGGAGGAGGAGGTGGAGGGGGGTATCTGAAGCCAGTCGAGGGCTACAACTCTTTCGGCGTATCAACAACAAAGCAAGTTGCCGGGCAACACAGAAGCGCTTGTTGTGACGATGGAGCAGGGGGGTTATCAACACTGCCGCGCTGCGATACGAACCTCCGCTGGCAAAGTTCGATTTCCGCTCACGGCCAACGTCTGTGACGAATATTTGAAACAGTTTCGTGGGTCTCCCCCCCCCTAGGTCGACTCAGCCTCAAAACGAGAGTACCTGGTGCTGTGTGTGAACATCGCCACTGGGGAGATAAAGGCGGCCGGGCGTTCTGACCTTCATAGGAACTCGATAACAGCACTTGCACCAAATATGAGTCTGTGACAGTCCTTAACGTGGCCAGGAAACTTTTGGAAGTGTGCACCACCCCCCTACATTCATGTTACACCCATGTGAACCGTAAATGTATGGCTACATGTCAGACGTGTTACTGAAGCCAGTCACATTGTTGAAGAAGGCAGCAGACCAGGGCAGCATGAGACTTAATTCCAGATACGTATAAATTATTATTTAATGTCCTAGAAATTTTTATTCTACCAATGAAAAACTAACATTCCAAGTAAACAAAAACAATGCAGTATACTATGTAGATTTCATTCATATTCACGACAGCGCATAACATCAATCGGAGACGTGATGCCAAGCACGCATGTCATGCATATTAATGAGATCTTGTGCCACCCAATCCCAGGAGAAAGTCACTGTCTCATTAGTGGTGAAATTATTTCAGAAAATTCTAGCAATAACGGTAAGTTTGGCTTTGGAGAGGTGGTTAACTAATGCCAACGCAGATGAGACGGGGCCATGCAAGGTCATGCGAGTAATTTCAAATGTAGAATACGTAGCGGCAGTTACGGAATTTACATGAAAAGGTAAAGTATAAATACGAGACATGTCATGATGCATCGATTCGCCAATTCATATCGTTTCTTTAACGCATGATAGTGCATTGCGTCTTGCATGTACGAATAGATTATTTTGTATTTATATACATTATATAGTATTGGTTACAATAATAGAGAAGCTACATTTTGAAAAAATTACATCACGACCCAAAATCATAACACTTTATCAAATCGTGAGAGAGTAAATCGTTATATGGCAATGGAATAAATATTTAAAATTTAGCATACATGGAAGGCCAATTGTCACTGGATATAACATGATTAAAGAATGCATTTCATATATTTGAAAAATAGAGGTAGCAGAGCACGTGGATGTTCTACAACATCCAAGGCCACAGGGTCATTGCATTCCATGTAACAAATAAGTAGAGAGCTTTGGAACTGCCTCAGCACAAACGCACATCATTTGATCCTCATGGCAGTACCCCAGGGTACCAAATAACACAAAACTGGTCGAGACAATTAAATACTTTATTTCTGGGACACTATTTTTTCCCACGCGTGTACTTCACTCCGCGACTGGGGTACCAATCAATCCGACATCGGTGCCACTCCGCGATGTCGAAACGCAGCGAGGACGATTGCGCCGAAACCCTGAACGCTCGCACGCACCGTGGTGGTGCATCGTGAGTACATCTCGTCGAGATGAGTCGATTGTCGCATCGCCGACCATCAACAGACTAAAAATGACTGCATAACGGACATTATGCGAGAGCCGGGGTACAATGGTCGCCCGGGGTGTCGCCATGCGGTTTATTTGTTAGAACAGTTGACGATAAGGCGTTACACTTCCAAGTGTTGATATGTACATCTCGAATTCCCGACAAATGATGAGCTTAGAGTTTTACCATATCCGTTTATGGCACAATGCCGTATCGGACCGTACGCACCTTAATTTGCAAAATAACTTTATTTACACAATATTTATTTTACGGTAGCCTTTTCAATTCACCCTGAAATCTGGCTTTCTCAAGTCTGACATCAAGATGTTTGAGCGTACTTTGCCGCATTCAGTTTAATACGTAGGCTTTCGCGACCAATATTATTCATAATATAGGTTTTTGGGTCACTTTTATAAATAACGCGATCTCACCCAAAAACCTATATTATGAATTTGCCGCATTGGTCGATGTTGGTTGATGAAGGGGTGGGGCGCGGAGGCAGGTTCATATGCTGCTACTCTTCGCTTTACTCTTGGCTTCATCCTGCAGCACGCGAATTAATCACTTTCCCAACACTCCACCCCCCAGATGTGTTAGCCGTGGTGAAATGATTCACCTTGTCTGCAATTCGAAGCATTGCCACGATGTGAGTTCTGATTATATCACTGTATTGCCATTGTGGCGCATGTTGAATTCATAGCGCCATGAAACTATGGAAACTTTCGTGTTATTAAAACTAAACATATTAATTTAAATGAATACGGCTGGCAGTATGAACACATGACGAGTTGTGGCGTGCCAACCTCTTAACAATGAGGCATTTCTACAATAGAAAATAGAAAATTCATCCGGTTGAAATTTCCCCACCTTTGCAATGCACTTATCTTGGGGAACGTATTCAGCTCAATCTACATTCTGATTCAATAAACCACGGAACACTAGATGTCTGTTTTAATATATGCGTATGAATGAGAGTGTTTCAAAATTCAGATCGGGAAGAGAGGAGTGAGGCATGTGGTTTTTGAAAGGGAGGGGTGAGACAGGGAAATGGATGGGGAGTAAGGTGTCAGCAGGTGCACTTACTTTGGCTTGTATAGGTCTCTTTATGTATGACCAAGTGACAGTCCATGGAGAATACAAGTATCTTTCAAGGCTATAAACACCGGTGTACGTCTATGCATGGCACTCCGTGTGACCATTCACTTGCCATTGTGGTTGTCCACCCTTCAGCCCCAGACCACAGGGTAACACAGCCAACTAGTTTCAACCGTCTGGAATTATTTACAAAAAAAGTCATATACATGTCCAACTTTGCAGTTCCCATGAGATTCATTGTTATGCGACAACGTCAGCTGCTCACATTAGATTTTGCCACCTGCTATTTTTTTTATTTATAAAATAGGACCTCTAACTAATCAGAATGTGGACCCTAACTAACGCTTTGCAGGTGCAATGCTAAAATTCCTGCTCTTTCAAGCGTTCTTCGTCCACTCCCAAAAAAACCTTCCATCAATCAGCATGTCTTTCAGCTGGTAAACAATTATGTGGAATGGTTTGACAGCTGATGGGACTGCTCGGAATGGTATATCATTCTTCGTTGCATAATGTCTTTTTTTAATGGGTCATTATTTTAAATTAGTTTCATGCTGCTGCTATTCAGATGGGAAATCACGTGAAAAGCAGTTCTGCCAATTAAGTTCGCAGTTTGTTTAAATAGCCAACATTTGAATTATAATGCATGCAATACATATGCGACTATGTACACGTTAAGTATAATCACATTATGTTTGTATGTAAGAGCATTTGCTCGAGCACGAACATTTCCTGCTGCTAGATTTTATTTGCATGCAGCCTCTCAACCAGCTTCTGTTTATGTGCTGGATAAAACGTGCATGCTAATGATTAAGTAGCCGCTGTACGTGCAGCATCAAAGATAATGTACCTTAAGTAAAATATTAGCATTACCAGAAACATGATTATTTAAGGGCAAGGTTTGTTAATTTAGCCATTAGGCTTAAACCAAAATGAGGATAAGCCATTACAATTACGAATATGCCAAAAGTATGCCTGTTTCTTATGAGATAATGTACACGAAGGCTTGGTTTCCACATACTATTTAAACTTAATGTAAGGTATTTATGAATATCGTTCACTGCTTTGCACAGTCGAATGTGTGAATGAATATTGTTCCAATAAAAAAACCTCACTTTTCAAGAAGTTTATATGCCTTCTACACTCATGTAAATTGAATGAAATAATAGGCTCGTAAAGTAACGGTATTTTTTATTTTATTTTGTTTTCACCTACGTGACTTTACCGGAAAAAAAAAGAGTATGAGTAAAGGTATTTCGTTGGTATATAAAGGTTTAACTCCCCTGCATGTCCCCTCATCACATTTCAATACGAGAATGTATTATTTTCTCATTTGTGCTATCCTGTGTATACTCTCTCATTTGTACCAACCATCTCATTTATTCTGTCTCATTAGCACAGTCTGTCTCATTATTTTTCATCTGTAATATTTGTCTCTCTCATTTGTTTTATATAAAAAGACAATTCGCATACAATTTGCATGAATTGAAAATCATTTTCTTAGTCATAATTCAGTCTATGTACAGGTAGCCTGCATGCAGGTTGAGCAGCGGAACAATTCTCTACGAACCCGGTAACGTGAGTTGTATTCCCGCATCGGTGGAGTCATATCTGAACAGTTTTTTTCCCCTCTACCTACGCCCCCAAACATCACGATCCCACAGTGACCACCGTGTAACGTATGGTCAAAATGTGTTTGCCACAAATGAACCACAATACCTTGCTGATCTCGTCAAGGAGCATAAACCATCAAGCGAACTTCGGGCATCCTCGCAGCTGCTTTTTTGCTGCGAGTCATCGAACAAAGACGGTCACTTCTGCGGAAGTTTGAAATCCTCTTCCTTCCGATATTGGGAAACCACTGGAGCTATGCACTCTTAAATCTAGATTGAAAACTAATTTCTTTAGAACTGCTTTCGGTATTTAGTTTGTTGTCCTTCCCCCACTCCTCTGATTTGCACGGTTGGTTGCACACGGTGCGAAAGAAGTTCAAGAAAACCGCCGTATTGATAAATAGCTCTTTCCTCGTTGAGCACACCCGTGAGACTTTTTCAAATCCACAATGAACACTTTCCATTTCCTTACGTCTTGTGCAATTCTTCCCATTTCTATTACGAATATTCCTGTCATTTGTGTTTTTCCATCTTGTTGATGGCCATCCTTTATTTTTCTATCCATCACACCTCTTTTCCATGATGCTCTCTTTTTTTGTTTGTAATGCCACAGTTCCAGTATCGATTAATTCTCCATTCGATTCGTGGAACACTATTTTGCCTGCAGTAATGCATCTTATCAATTCAGTTTGTCTCATCGTCGACTTTGTCCAGATTTTACAACCATG